AAAGTTTTGGTCATCAAACAAGCTAAGTGAAACACAACAAAATCGATGATCATATGAATGATATACCATTAAGGTGAAGAGGTTATGATACAGTATTAAAGTGACGAGATGATGGTGTAGTATTAAGACGACGTGCATTGATTTTATAAAGTACTTCTCAATGAGTTATAAGTATTTTCATCAATGTCTATATGAGATATCATCATCTTCATGATCAAGTAACTTCCATAACCAGGTTATTATTATTTTTTATTTATTAATTTATTATATCTTTTTAAAATTTAAAGATGCTTGAACCTTTTTATATATTGCCTCATCATGTATTTCCTATTCATTAGTTTATAAATTAGAGAAATCTCGTATGCTTATATTTTAGCCATTTATAAAAATAGAGAAGATATATAAAAGAGTTTCTAAATTTTTGTGTATATCAAATTTTTAAAATAATAAATAATAATAACAATAAATAAATTTCGGTTCATCATCTTTAATAAGATCATTATCTTTGTAAATGACAAAGGAAAAGAAATGAAGTTTTAGTTTTCAAAAAAACAAAGAAATAATAAATCAAAAAATTAGCCTTGTATTTTTTAAATAATCTATAGTCTACTGTTCGCCGTAATCTGTATTAAAAAAAAAATTAATGATCGTTTGATTAATGATAGTTTATTTGGAAATATATATTTTTTAAAATTACAATTAGGAATAATTAATTGATTGCATATTAAAAAGGCCTTAGCCCTCTGCCTTCCTTAAGTATTTATTTATTTTTATTTTATGTGATTTAACCATATTTCATTCTTCAATACAAATACAAATATCTGGTGTGTCCACTCACACGACTTTCCTACCTATTTCAGAAAAGTTTTTATATCTTTACATATGTTCATGAAGAAACAAAAAAGAATTGAACGAGATACATTTTCCTGAAAATTGTTCAAACATAAGATTTGAGCAAGATTTATTTAATAAACTAAAGCAATATAAACCGGCTTAAGGTAGATCAGGGTAAAAATTTCAATATTTCCTAATATTGCTGATCAAAAACTTTTTGCCATAGCTCAGTAGAGTCAAACAATAATTTCTGTTAAAAGTAGAGGAAATAGTGAAAATTGTGTGATGCGGGCAACAGATTTTCTTACTTTTACTTAATCATCTTTATTCTCTCAATAACCCCTTTCTGACACCAGGATATGAAACCATAATCTTACATTGGAAATTGAATAGCTGTAACTTCGTTAATAGTTGTCCAAAATGAACGATTTTTATATGGCTTTGTAGGAAATTTCATTACCTTTCGTACTGTTTTGGACTCAGGGCGCTCTGAAACGTATAGATCCGTCGAAAACCGCATGTCCCCCAGACCCCATAACATTTTTCTTTATACCTTTTTTTCCTGAATTTGTTCAGGAATTTAATCTATATACATATATACTATACACAGTCTATATAAATTGAAAGAACAATGATTAGAATATTATAGGAAAGATTCATCAACATCGTTAGAGCCATCTTGGTACAGACAGACAGACAGACAAATGGCTAAAAATGTGTTTTTCGGACTCTGAAACGTATAGATCCAGAATTTTGATTTTGTCGGAAATTTGACCCGATTGCAATACATTCCTTACCTCTAGTATAGGTAGTAAAGCAAAAATCACTACAAAAGAATATAAATTAATGTAAAACGCCTTGAGAGTATAGGTGAGAGAGAGAGAAAAAAAAATTATCATTGTGTTAGGTAAATCTACTGGGTAGGTAATTTCAAGCAAATTTAGTCTTTAATTGCATTTTTTTAATATACAGATTATTAGTTAATTAAGCATGAAAGAATTAAGAAATTCTGACAGCTTATTTTGTACGAGTAATATAATAGTATAGTAGACACTCAGGTTTTGGGGGTCAAGAGATTTTTTTGTATAATTAAAAAACGCAAAATAAATTCTCCACAGTTTTAAACTAAGAAATACCTAACCACAGATAAATGAACAAAAATTAAAAAAAAAAATCTCCAAAGAAAATTAATAAAGAAATCTCTTTGAAACGAGCACATGCCTTATTTTATTAAAAAGAATAACTTATTGCCAAGAATAAAAAAATATGTAAAAAGAAAAAACGTAATTTTTTTTTTTGTTTATGATATTTACAACTGTATTAAATTAAAAATACATCTAATAAATATGTACACATGAATGATATAATCACATGAAAACGCTAGTTAAGAAACTACCCATTGAAAGCACTCCAGGAATATATTTACATAAGTAGATCACGAGACCATCTTCTTTTCACACGCCTTGGAGGCTTAGCAGGTATCGAAGAGGAACCAAGGTTTAAAACGAGAGGGTTCGGATGGTTTTGAAGTTTGTTATGGTAGGATAGGTGTCTGGATTGGTCTAAATAGGAAACATGTGGTACGTTAAGGTCGTTATGGATGATTTTATTTGTGACAAAGTAAGGAGGATTTTGGATTGTTAGGATTGGATGCGAGAGGAATTCGATGATTTAGTGGGAAGTCCAAATTGACCTTATTATAGTCATGTAAATGAGTCTTTTGTAATATATTGAAAGTTTAGAGCGTTTGTCTAGTAGGTGCTGGAGTAGTCGAAATCGTCGAGCAGTTTCTTGTCTTTTCCGTCTTTTATGAGGATTCCAAGTGAATCGTTCGTCGAGATGGAGTATCCATGGAGAAATGAATTTTAAAATAGTTAAAGTACAAATTAATACTAATTAAAATATAATACGAGAAACTTGAAAAACAATTAAATAATATAATATTCAAATAAGTAATAAAGGTGTAATATTTTAATGGATAATAGATAGCAAAAAGAAAATTAGCTATGGTGGTATTTTGAATCATGAAAAAAAAAAAATCGGTAGAAGCAACTTTATAGCCACTAAAAATTATAGAATTATTTTCAATAGATACTTTTGTACAACAAATGCAGAAAACGACTTTTAATAGAATGTAAGAGATTGAAAATGAGTGGCGTCCAAAGGGTTTAAGAAAGGAAGATGAAAAGCAAGCAAATGAAAAAAAATAATACTATAAGCAATCAGTTACTGAAGGTAGCAGTATTTTCTTGATATAAATATGCAATATAAAATTTGACTAATTGCGTCTGAATAATCCGATTCGTAAAGATATTGGATCGGTTTAAAAACTACATGCAAACAAAATATGCAATTGCATTAAAATCTGGCCCTTGGTTTTAACCATACTATCATCTTCATGAATTTAAACAAAGTAAATGAAAGTCACGGTATGCATATCTCTGGGCACTGCTTTTTCTCATGCTTATCAAGCTTCTTTTATATAATTTTGTTTTCTTATCTTATTATTATCCTTTTTTATGATTATAAGCATGATTATCATGCTGATAGTGATAACTATATATTAAAAGATGAAAAATTGAAAAAAAAAAAATTAAATAGGAGCTGTTGACAATTTTAGGTTGGCAATACATAATTTTATTTATTTATTCTCTACTAGCTGGCGGTATTTTTAAATCTACAGCCTACTTTTATTCATGTTAGTTGAAATGGTGGCTTTTCTATTATTTTTTTTCCTTTGGTATTTTTTGTTTGGTTAATCCATGTGCTATTATTAGTTTTTGGTCATAATTATTTATTTTACTTTCTTCGCTGAATCGATTGAACTATTGAGTCATAATAGGTTACTAAATAGGGCTCGATATATTTTCAAAATATCTCTTATATAGACGTTTTGGGATTCAGGGAAATTAAAACCGCTATCACTATAGCTATCGTATTTTAATTTTTAAGCACTTCATGTTTAGCTAAAATACTGTTTGTTTTTCGACAAAACATCAGATTTGAGTAGCTGTTGGAAAACGCTTTTCACAAAATCTTTGACGACAGAAATACAACCTTTAGAGCAAAGTTACAATATATCGTGTAATGATAACTTTTATAATCACTATTTCTATGGATGTCATTATTTTTAAAATATGTTTTACGTAAATTGTGTTATAACTTTCTTCCGTCATATCAGATTTGACATTGATTTACCAGGGTCAGATTTGTCGATATAAATTTAAAAATCTATATCAAAAAATGCACTATTTAAATTTTTTGAATTATTATTATTTTATAAGAGAAATGTTTTATTTTTGTCTCTTATTAATTCTAATTCCAGTTGTTTCTTAACCTTACTGAAATGAATTCTATGAATTTAGGTCCATATCAGTAAATAATTCTTAATTTTTTTATGAATACTTGGGATTGAACTTTAGGCTACAGAAATTAATTAGTATTCGTAGAAAAATTAAATTATTAAGAAAAAAATTATTTATTTTTTGGGTGGTTTAAAAGGAATAGGAATATGTATAGTATTTTAATTGTTAAATAAATTACTATCCCTAAATGTTTCTACAACATATTTATGAAATTCCTGAGATATATTTAACTTGTGTGTATAAAATATATTTTATTTGTTTCTCTTTTTTCTTTATTTCTCTTTTAAAATCATTTTCTTAATGTATTTTTTAAATTTTTAAAACACAATATTATAACATAAAAACCGTATAGCTCCTCCATATCGTAGCTGTATAAAAAAAAGTCATACACTGACATTTCATAACCTTAAATTATTGAGAATTGTGTTGTATAAGACAATTTTGCGTTTGTTGCATATTAGATACATAATATGGTTTGTGCACTTATTTTTTTTGTATTTTTTTAATAAGAGATAAGGTCGAAAATAGGTTCTTAAAAAGTTCAGGTCCATCAAAAATGTACTTAAATGATTTTTTTTCCATAAACCGACAATTTATTACGCTATAAACTTCTCTTTGACTGGATATATACATATATATAAATAAACATCACCACATTTTGGTTTACCAACCAATTAATCTTTATTGAAGAAAAACAAACCCGTTAATGATCCCCTGGTTATTACTTTCAGTTGCATAACCGGCTTTAAGAAAGGTCGCCTGGGATTTCCTTCGACCTAACCCCCACCAGGATCTGAGACCAGTCGTCATGGAATCGCTGAAGAGAGTGGTCGCTATCCTCGAGGAAGAGGGTGTCGTCGAACCTGTCGGTCCTCTACTCCTGTTCAGGCAGCCTCAACAACTACAGGTACTGGTAGAAGTAGAATTCATGTAGAGTATAATTATACTAATTATTTAACAACGGTCGTGGAAATTTTATACATTTTTTTTTTTTTTTTACCTACGGTGCTTTTAGTTTCAAGGACTTGAAATGAAATGTTAACTTTTATTTTTAATCAGTTTCGATATAACTGGTATTTTTATTTTTGATTGTTTTTGGAACCAGAACTTCTTCCCATGAAAATTTTCAATAAAAGGTTTTACAAAACTTATTTTATTAGAAAACTTTACTTACGTTTTATGTTCTATCAAAGCAATGCATTTCGGTAAAAAACAAATTTAAAAATGGTAATTGTACAGTAGAATAATAATATGGGAATTAGGCAATTCAATCTGGATAGTTATATTAGTAATATAAGCTCAATTACTGCTAATAACAATTAACAATTGTTAAGATAACAATTACACTAAACTCAGAACTTTATTACAAAAAGGTTCTTTGGAACTTATATTTTATTAGAAAATTGTGTATCAAAATGCTACATCGAAACTGTTAAAATAAAACTTTTTAAAAAGTTCAACAAAAGTTATAACTTCTGGTCTCAAGTATATGTTCTTAAATTAATTTTTTTATTCTTAGAAATAATGAGGAAAAATTAATAAAATAACTGGACACTTTGCGAAATAACTCAAGCAAAACGTCTTGTTTGGGTTCTGATATCAACCTCTCAAAACTATTCTTTGTTTTAAGTGCATTTTACATCCGTCAACATGAGTTTGAAATACTCCTAATATATCATTTAATAATATTACGACAGACTGAAACTACAATTTATTTGGATTGTAATTTCTTGAAATTGTTGTGATATGTTATCCTCAATATTCAAAAACATCTTTTCTATTATTTTATATGTATTATTCTCTTCTTATTTATATATAACAAATTCTGTTTGTTTCTACTAAAAAAACATATCTTACATTCACATGAAAACTCTTAATTTCAAAGGTCAGACATATTAATGATTGAACCCTTATAATTCCCAGCAGCCTACTCTACCTTCTAATATCAGACCTGTCATCAAGACATAATAGGACATCTAACAGAGACACATGTTGCTGGAAAAACCATATGAGTTTTTATGCAGAATTTCGGCCGTGATCATTCTCTGATGAAATTTTGAGAGATTGGGCATAGATTCATACATACATAGATTCTCGCATATCAATATCATCCAATTCCATCTGCTATTTCCGCTTGTGGATGCGCAAACATATGATGATATGACTTTAAATCAAAAATGACTCGTTCGATTAGGCACAAGTTGGAGGAAATTTGAGGAATGATGCACAATTAAAATTAATACAATTGTTACAGATATAATTACTTTGAAGTATATTAGTCAGTAAACATTTTACAATGAGAGGTTGCACTGGATTTTAAGTTTGACGTGATTTATTAGATATATTTTATATGAGTTTTAAAATCTGTTTTGAATAAAATTATAATTCTATTGCAATAAATGCGCATTTTCTTATGCATCAAATACAATTGGTGGTGAGGCTATACCGATTTTCCAGTCAAACTTGACTTTTTTGATTCTTTGATATGAAATTGAATTTGAATTCTTGCACTATAGTTAGAATTTTCGTTGATAGGTTATTTTTGGATTATTGTTTTGAACCCTCAAAATTTAAATAGCATGGAATGCATGGTTCGATGTGGAATTATATGGCAAGTTTTAATTTTAAAGTTTCCTTCATTTGGCTAAAATATACCAAATGAGTAGAATTGGTGACCGTGGATCTGAATTGACATTGAAATTTTCGGAAGAAAATGTACTCATTCAGTATCTGCTCTGTGAATAAATTTTTTATACAAACTCTAAGAAAACATTTCTACATTATTATATTGTTTTTTCCATGACATAAAAATTCAGAAAATTGTTTCAATAAATCTTCTGAATTAGAATTGTTTGTTTGATCTTATTGAATCAAAATTAGTCGATTTCCTATTTTCAAAAAATACGATAAGTCCGATTAATTCTAAACTTAATACACCCAAGTCAAGAAAATATTGAACCTAACTAATTTAGACAGAAAACTTTTAAAAAGTTATATATCATATCACGTTAAAAATTTAATATTCAATACGAAAGGATGAGTTTGTGAACCTGTTACATTATGTTATATTATTGAAAGTTGATTCCCCTGTGGGTGCGGGAATAATTGAATAGGTCCATAGTGTTTAACCGCTTATCGTAGAAGGCGACTGTCCGTTGACCTTATTACCCATTCCTTCCTATCATCGAACTATTACCTATCCTATCCTTCCTCCTTTCACCACCTATATCTATCCACCGCTGCCTTGCGGACTAGAACTATGTTCAAAGCCCTAGGGAGTAAACCCGTACAGAAATTCTGGTCCTCCAAGACTGGGGATGGTCATAGAGCTAACAACCTATACCGTTAAAAACCATTGTTACGAAACTGAAACTGAGAAAATAGTTGGGTGTATCAACTGTCACAATTCCGAAAGCTAGAAAATCACTAGAGAGAGAGCGCGAAGGAATAAGATCGACATTTTGGCTTCACAGGAGATTAGGTGGAAAACGACGGAAAATCAACCTGGACTACACAGTGGTTAATAGCGGTACTACTAGAAGAAATAACTTGTTGGGGATAGGTTTCATTATTAAAACACGATAAAGCAAACACGATATGAGGCATTAGAAGAAAGTTTAGTAATATTTATCTATTCAGCGTACACGCTCCGACAGAAGATAAAGAGGAAGAAGAAAAAGATCTGTTTTATGGAACATTAGAAGAAGCATATGATGATCTACCCATGACGCAAAGATTTTATTAGGAGATTTTAATGCCAAAATTGGAAAAGAAAGTGCTTTTATCCATACAATTGAAAGCATAGTAAACATAAATTAACGAGTGAAAATGAAATCAGACTTATAGATTTTGCAACAGCTAGGGTACTTGAAGTAAGTAATACGTGTTTCTCACATAAAGAAATCCACAAAGAAACATCGATGTCACCTGATGGGAACAGTAGAAATCAACTCGATCACGCCTTAATAAATAAAATATATTAGACGTAAATGAGAAGAAGAACCAGGAGAGTAATAAGGATGATATATCAAATAAATTTTTGAAGGAATAATCATCCAAAGATTAAATGAAAGAACTGTAGAAGAAACTACAGTTGAAGAGCGATGGCAGAATATAACAACAAATCTAATGGAAGATTCGGAGAATGTGCTTGGAAAAAAAAAGAATGGTTTGATGAAGAATTCACTCAGCCAATTAGAAAAATGAACGACACAAGAACTACTAACTTTTGAAGAGAGCAACAAGAGCGTGTAAGAAAAATTATTCAATGAAAAGGAAAAGATCCAAATTAAAATATGTCGTGTGAAAAAGTGACTATGGGAAAGGAAAATAATAAAATATATGCAAAATTAGTATAGAGCAAAAGAAACCAGGAAATCGTACAAAGAAATCAGAAATGCAAGAACTGGTTTTAAACCGCACCTAGAGTAATGTAAAGATAAATGGAGAAACTTGCTGCGATCGATAAAAGAGATACTAAACAGATGGATGGAATATTTGTCAGAAGTATTAAACCAAGGAAGTATAAAACCGAATAATGAAGAAGAACTACAAAGAAATGAAGGTGACATGTGCGAGGAAGAAGAAATGCAGCCGGATAAGGAAGAAAGAGGGAAAATAATTGTGGCTCTACAATACAATAAATCTTCGGAAGTGGATGAAACACCAGCTGACCTGCTAAAGAACGGCGGAAAAGAATTAAAAAACAGCTCTACGACCTCATATGTATAATGTGGATGTAGGAACCTATCCACAAAGAATGGAACACGGCAATTCTATGTCCTATTTTTAAAAAAAAGTGATAAGTTGAATCACGCTAACTACAGATGAATAGCGCTGCTACCAACTATGTATAAAGTCCTCTCGATTGCTATTAGTAAGATGCTAGATGCTTCGTGGGGAGAACGAATTTTCTGAGATTACCTTCAGGGAAAACATATCAACTATGGATCACATTTTTCTGCCAGGCAAATATTAGAGAATCATACGAACATAACGTGGATCTGCACTGTGTCTTTATAGATTTTAAACAAACATATATTATACACTGGACAGAATGGAATTATTGCAAACTAGTAAAATGCTAGGAATTCCGGAACAATTGTTTTTCTTGACAGAGATGAGGCAGACAGCCACGAAATGTAAAGTCGTGATTCTCTTAAACGCCTTTGAGTTAAAACAGAGCTTGAAGCAAGGAGACCCTATACCGCCAATCCTCTTTAATATAGAGTTGGAGCGGGCTGATAGAACTATAATAAGGACCAATCCTGGAGGGACGATATATAAATATATATATATACGATATGTAAATAAATTTACATAATGCTTAGTGTATGTGGACGAAATTCTTATCAGTGTTTGAATATTGTCAGCACTAGCGGGATCGATAAAGGAATTTTATAGGACAGCCAAATAACTTGGCGTGAGAATAAACGCAGAAAAAAATCCTATACATAAAGTCCGTATAATTTAGCAATTCATGAAAATGTACAAATCAATTAGCACCTTTTTCCAATGGGGAGAGAACTCAAATACCTTGGAGTAGTAGTGACATACCGAAACAAAATGCAGACGGAGATAAAAGCTTGTTTCTGAGGCATAGGTCCGTTAAGGACTATTATGCAAATTAATAATAATTGAAAGTCGAAATTTTCGTCTATTCAATCTACTAAAAGTTAGTTCGAAGATATCAAGGTGAAATGCAGAGTTGACAACATCTGCTTTGATTACCAAGATTGGTTGAAAAATAAAAATTGAAAATAATCAGCAATCATTCGCCAAACCATCAGTTTTACATAGAAAATAAAAGCTATACTGTAATATAGCGTAATTAATTACGATGGAGGTTTGGGATTAATTAAGCAAGCACTAGAACGTATTACGGGAAAACATTTTATTCATGTGCGT